GCGGCGACCTGCATGTAGGTGAGGCCCGCGGGCAGCGCCGGGAGCTCGCACTGGCCCTCGTCATTCTCGCCGCAGGCCACGGCGGAGCCATCGCTCCGGAGCAGGACCGAGTGCCTCTCTCCCGCCGAAAGCATCCGCGAGGGCCGGCCGCGGGCAGCTGGAGGCGGTTCGCGGACAGCGGGGCGCGAGAGCTCGAGCCGGGAACGGTCGCGCTCAAGACGACCAACGGCCATCCCCAGGCGACCGGGAGGTCCCGACGGGTCCCCTGCGCTACGTGTGGGTACTACGGCAGGCTAGTGTCGTGGCGACTTGCGCGTTGGTTTCTCACACCGCGTGCTCTGATAGCGCGAATCGGTCGATGTCGGCCGATTCTAGGCCACTGGCGGCTTTCAGCCTTCAACGCTCGCGCCTGAGTCACCGCCGCACCCTACCGTGCCGTTCTCTCCTGTCTCTCCTGCCAATGTGCAGCGGTGCCCCCCCGCGTCTCTCTGGTACAGTTCTTTCGCACCCATGGCCCAAACTGCCATTTGTCGTTTTCAAAAACTGCGTACCCGCTGGCTCGATGAAATCGGGGATGTGCTCCCGTTGTTGAGACTGGCGCTCTCGCTCCAGCGCGGGCCACATGTCTGGATCCGAGTCGTTTCTCTTCGGTTCTTCTCCTCCTCCTCTTCCTCCTTTCCCATCCTCCTCCTTCCCCTCCTTCTCCTCCTCCTTTCCTCCTCCTCCTTCCTCCTCCTCCTCCTCCTCCTTCCCCGTCCTCCTCCTCCGCACACCTCGCCACTACACAGCAGCCCTTCTGATTGTTTGTTGGACCAGGGCGCAGCCGAACTTGTTTGGACCGGGGAGCAGCCGAACATTCCTGGAACGCAAGCGCCCCTTCTAGACCAGAGCGGAGGGGGCCGAGCGGTCTTACGCTGTCCCCGGCTGGAAGCCGCGGTGCATGTTGCGTCTGCCGTTTGTGGTTGTCGTCGTCCCCCCCCGCACCGCGCCGCGACCCACGCGCGGCCCGCCGCACCCGCGACTCGCCTGGGACCCGTCCACGCCGCGACCCACCCGCGCCGCGACCCACCCGCCGCTGTGCTTCACCCGAGCCGGCGCCCTCCGGCGGGGCGACCCGCCCGCCTTCCCTCCGGCGGAGAAGTCGGCGCCCACGGCTGGCTGGTCTGCACTGGCCTTGGAGGGCGCCGGTTGTGTGCGCCCCAGCCCTGGCGCCCCCTCGCTCTCGGCCGAAGCGCCGGGTCGCCGAAGGATGGGCTCCGAGGGCTCCAGGGGCGCCCCCTCCAGAGACACAGACTGCGCAGACATACGCACGCAGATCAACCCCCGACCCCCCACCCCGGAAAAAAAGAAACGCGCCGCGGAACAGTGCAACAGTGCAAACATCGCGCCCGGATATCTCTGGGCCCAAGATTCCTGGGACACTCCTCGGGCCTGACCGAACCGTGAGGGCCCACCAGGGTCTGAGCTCGGTGCCACAAGCACACATCGGCCAAGACGAGGGACACGGGCAAACACACGGAGAAATCCGGCCCTGGACCCCTCCCGGGGCCCATCTGGTGCAGCTTTTTTCACCCCAAATCCGTCTCTGCCGGCCCAGGCCCGAACCCGGCCTCCAGAGACCGACGAGGACAACGAACCTTCCCGAGCCCAGAACCTCGAACCTGACCCGCTCCCCCTTGCCTGCAGGCCAGGACCAGTGTTGAGTCGGGCGTGTCCCCCTCCAGGGGGATCTTCGACGAAATATACAAAATCCAAAACAAATGCTCCCAGATTGCCAACAGCTAGTCAAAATATTCATGGATTATACTATGTTTGAAGATTCCCCCTGTAGAGGGACAGGCCCGACTTGAGACCAGTGCCGGGCCACCGCAGCCCCCCGCCAGCTCCAGCGGGCAACCGCAGGCGCCACGGCAGCAGAACGCGTGCGGCCCCAGGGCCTGTGGAGGCCTCGCGCGCGGACCTCTCGGGGGGCCCCCTGGCGGGGTCTCCAGCCATGTAGGCCTGGACCTCCAAGGGAGGAGGAGGAGGAGGAGGAGGAGGAGGAGGAGGAGGAGGAGGAGAAGACAGGAGGAGGAGGAGGAGGAGGAGGAGGAGGAGGAGGAGGAGGAGGAGTGGAGGAGGGAGGAGGAGAGGGGGGAGGGGAGGAGGAGGAGGAGGAGGAGGAGGAGGAGGAGGAGGGGGAGGAAGGAGGAGTTGGAGGGGTTCGGAAGAGAAGGTCGTGAGGATGAGGGGCAGGCGGGGCAACAACCACGCGCGCAAGAAAGGAGATCTCGCGGGGCTCCTCGCCCCGCCTAGGCCACCCAACCTCGCGCCCCGCGCCGCGCGACGTGCGACGCGCGGCCATCTTCGCAACCTCGCGCCGCCCCGGAATCGGAATGTCTCTCTGTATCGCTACGTGGCACGGGGAAGCTCCAAGGCCTCGGCGACAGTTTCCTCGGCCGTCGCGCTGCTCAGCAACTGGCCGCCCGGCAGGACGGCGTCCACCCGCCAGGCTCCGGGCCCCAGTCTGCCCGCGCGGTGGTCGGCCAGCAGCTGCTCGTAGATGTCCGCGAGGCGAGCGCCGGGCCCGGCCCAGGACCTGGAGCGCTCCGCCCCGCCAAAGGTCATGAAGCGCATC